ATCTGTTTATTTGCTTATCTGTTCAATCTACGCAGTTTACACTAACCTGTGAAGACTGAATGAATTCAGCCTCGGGCTTTTTGACCGTCTGTACTTTGCCCTACACACTACGTAACATTCAGACAAGATGCAAGATGCCTGGCATAGTATATTCCATTAGAGAAACTAATACTATGGAGGTTTGTGCCAATCTGATTGCTGAACTGGAAGTGACATTATTCAGGTTAACTGCAGAGTTGCAACGTATACTAAGAGTGGGATTACAGCAAGAGCACACCCCCTTGATACCAGGCAATTGCACTGGCACAGTAATAGACATGGTCTTTACAGCGCAAGCTTTCTGTTCTGAATTCTTCCCCGTATAGAAATTGTTTCTCACTCTATAAATCTAAAACCGTTCCCAATTCAGAATTATAGCTGTTTACCCTACTGACTAAAATAAGCATGTTACTTTTTGTCCCTGGTTCAAAATAAAGAGCAAATATAGCCATAGGACAGTGAGCAATCTTGTGTTTGATGTCATGGGTCAAAATTATAATTTCTCATTAAATCAGAAAGAAAGCCAACCTGGATTTTGATTCCAGGATGAGTTTGGAGAGTTGGCAGTTAGAAAAAAGAAGTATTACCCTTTAAATTAAGACAATTTAACCTCAAATAATGTTAATGGGTCACTTTTCAGAACACAAAATCACAGTAAGGCTATTAGTTGCAACAACAACTTTTCATAAAATCATCATTCTGTGGAAAACAGAAAAGTCAAGATGATTTTTTTTTTTACATTAATCAGTCCCTTTGATAAAAGTGCATGATACTAAGGTGAAGTGTTAGCAAAACAAAGCGACTTTGGGGTACATTCGGCTGACTTCACTTAAAATTGTAGTAGGTCCCAAAGGTGACTCGTGCCTTTTTTTTGTATCATAGTATGCAGCACATCAGCTTGTCCAGCAGCAGAGAAAAGCATCCTACCACCCCCTCCCCTCCCAGTCCCCAATGAGCCACGCACAGCTCTGGCCCGCTCCTGGCAGGGTCACATTCACTGCCCTGGCTGGGCAGCACCTGCCTTTGCCTGCCTCCCTCCCTCAGCATGGGGGCTTCAATTTGCACACCCCCAAACCCCTTTCCCCATACAGACTTACCATCAGGCAGCTGCTTTCCATACTGCCGGACTGCATTCCTGGCCGCATGCACACTGTGGCTGCGCGCATGTATGCAGCATTTATTGGTGACATTATCAGCTACATCAGCCAAAAAAAAGCCGATTTCCGATAATGTTAATTTTTCTTTTATCAGTGCCAATCCTATATGTGACCAATATATTGGTGTACCTCTACATTTTAGCATGCTAGTTATCTTACTGCTTCTTCAGGTTATTCAGAAACTGAACACATATTATTTGTAGCTTATCACTTCAAACCAAGTGCCATTATATACACGGAGGCAGGAGACTGCAGAGAAACAAAAATGGCCAGCTTAGTGGGGGCACAGGGGGCAAGTGCTAAGTCCATTGCCTATCTTTGCTGTTTTCAAATATTTTGCTGGCATCACTGCAACTGAGCCATTTAAATGAGACCAATCAACAGCTCTACAAACATTTACAGGAAGCTCATTCTAAAAGTGATGGGCCACAAAGTAAAATGCACAAAAGTAATTTGTTGGTAATGATGAACCAGAGACCAAAGTCAAACTCTCAACAGCAAATGAGAAATGATGCGTGTTAAATAGCTAGTTATAAATGCTTGAGTCTCCCCTTTACTGTTGCCCATTGGTTGATCCTAGCATGAAAGGATCAAATGAAACATCTGAAGAATATGACCAAATTGAACAATGATGACACAGCTTAACAGTGAAGAGACACAAAAAAGGAAATCTATATAATTTGAAGAGTATGGGCACTTTTATATGTTCATTAATGAGCCTTTGCTACTGCACATTAAGTTTAGTACCTCTGGGTACATTTATTCATGTGGCGGGGGGGAATGGCACTTTAATGAGAGTGGCTCCAAGAGCCACTCTAATTAAAGGACTGCCATGTCTCCTGTATCAGTATCCCCATGCTTAAAAATGGTGGCAGGGGTGCTTGAACTAAAGTTTGTTTGATGAGTTATTGTTCAAGCACACCCACTGCCATTTTAAGCACAGAGTCGCTGATGTATGAGATGCAGGAGTTTGCTGGAGTATGGCAATTGCCACATCCCAGCAGATTTGATTAATCAAGTCAATTAATTGAGTCAATATCATTCTCTCTCTCAGATTAATTGAGCCCATTCCAACACACTGGAATTCCAGCCTCTCTGGTTGTGTATAGGCACCCTCTAATATGAGGTACCAGATAAAGGCACAGTAGCTGCGCTAATGCACAATAGCAAAGGTGAACCTTTTTGTAGCACTTATTGTGCAGCAGACTAATTCTATTGTGCATTAGCACGGTTTTTGCTGTGATGCCCTAATGCGCAGTAGAACAGTCCACTGCACATTAAGGCATCTCCTGCAGATGTGCCCTATGCAAACAGAAATTTATAGTCAAGTTGTTTTTTTAAAACTGACTATACCTTAGTAACTACTACCAAACTAATTACAATGCATCATTTGCAGGGTTAGAAGCCCACCTATAGCATTTTATGTTATTGCATAACAAGCTTAAACTAGAATGTTTTTAAACAGAGCTTAAATGTACACTTCAGAAAATATCTGTTAGTCAGTTTAGACCCATCTAGAAACAATACAGTTTGAAATGATGGTAGAAAACTACCACACATTAAGTTAGAAACTGGTTTACCATACATAAGATAAATATAAGCTTTATATTTAAGCTATATTTAATTCATATAGAGTACAGCACACCTACTATGAAAATAACTCATCTGCAATTTGTTGTAGGAAATTTTAAGTGCCACTAATATAGGTAGCCTAATCACACTCCTTTTCACTTGGTGGTAGGATAAAGAAAAGCTATTACTGAACCTATTTCGGAGCTAACTTGTTGACCTGAAGAATTACAAGTATGAACAATAATTAGTTAGTGTTACATGAAAACGTCAGGCTTCCAAAGTTGAGCAGCGTGGGTAGACAGAGAACCTTTGAACCCACCAAATAATCCCTGAACTTGATAATGTACATAATACGGTGATATTGGGTATCCTGACAGTTTCTGTCTCATATGCTACCCAAGACCATCCCTGTAGACTATAGATTTAGCATACTAGAGAGTAAATACAATACAGACACTGGCGTAACCCAGGCAGCTGTCTGACACAAGTTAATTTAGCAACCTGTTTACAGCTGGAGAGAAAGCCTATCCCGACACAGATGCCAACTTGGCAAAGGCTTAATGAAATCCTTTGGGGTCAGAGTGAGTTCTGAGGAGTGGCAACAAATACTCATCCATCCACCCACACACACATGCACGTGCCATTCTGAACTTACTTGCACCATGAAGCTGCAGCCCACAGTCTGGGTTACTTGAACTGCAGCAGCTTTGCCTGAATATTAGGCGTGTGTCCTTTTTTATTAACTTAACATTGAACACCTGGAAAGTGTTATCCCCATTAAGGAAAATGATTATTGGGAAGACTAATGCCTGAATTCACCGTGTATTGGTCCCCAGTCTCCAATAAAAATAAAGAAAGTGTTGATCTCTGGTAAGAAAACAGGGACCTCTAGCCACATAACACCAAAACAGTGCCCTGTGAAACTTAAAAATCCCAAGAAAATGTGTTCTAGCTGTATACAATTTCATTCACACACACCCTTGGAAGTGTTAGCATTCAAGGTTCCTATAACTCCCAATAACCTACACAAACTAAATTTCCCTTCACACCCACAATGACACTGATGTGCTGCTCTCCCTACCTACACAGGCTTTCCCACATTGATAACAGGAGCATCACTTCTGTAAAAACAGCAAGATACAGGTATAAACATGCAATGGAGAAGGTCAAATTAAAACTTGTATTCTACCTGTAAAAATGTATGCTTATATCCAGTCATACAAGATGCTCATAATTAGAAAATTTTGCAACCCAAACATACTGTAAAACTGTTTCATTAGGAAGTGAATGTATTGTTGATGGGCATGGTTGGTGCAACAGCCCTGACATCTGAAGTCTTCTACTAGTTCCCACACAAGAGCCTCAGCAGCCAGGAAAATTCAGTTCTTAGTTTCTTTTCAGTGGGTAACACTACCCATTGTCCCTGAACAGAAACTGACTGAAGTTAATAGGAACTCTTTAGCTGACTTCTCTAGGCTTTAGACCTTGCTCATAGTGAACCAACTACACATCACCTTGGTTTGGACTCCAGGCTAGGACCCTTATCCTGGAAGCACACACCACTTAATTTAGTCTTAAATAGTTCCAGTGAAGTCAATACCACTATTATACAAGTTACACATGCATGGAAGTATATCCAAGATTAGGGTCTAAAATTCAGGAGCAAGTTTTTGTAACTATTTGTAATTAAAAGCAACTTGGACATAAAAATTGTGCCATACAAATTACTTTCTCTAAGTAACTTGCATTGCATTCGATTAAAATATTATCTAATTCACTTACTTTCACAGTGTTCACTAGTGTTTGCATTCCTCAATAGGGACAAGAAAAACAGGTTACTTCCACTTTCAGATGCTCAATTAGAACCATAGGAACATTTCTGTTCATAGATTCTGGAAAAGTTTGGAGGGATTTTTTTTTAAGTCTAAATCTGAATTTTGGGTCACATTGTGGTATGTTCTTTAAAATGAAAGCTGAGATATATTATTATCCAAAATATTATTATTGAAACTGATATAAAATTCTATAGGTCACATTTTTACTAGAGGCAAGAAGAGCAAGCTGTAAATAAACAAATATGGGCCAAATTGGAATTAATCCAAAGAAATCAGAACAATATATAAAAGCACTTATGAGCAACACTACAGCTTTAAGAACTTCAGGCTATTTTAAGAGCCAAAGGGCAGACAGTAACATCTGACACTATGGGAACAGTCATGACCACACACTTACATGAAACTCTGTGGTATTGAGAATGTGACGACCATCCGGACTCCAGCACGAAGCCACCAATCCTGCTGACCCTTCGTCAATCTTGCAGTGCCAGTCTGGCTGTTCTAAAGACCAGACCTAAGTCAGAGAGAAGATCAGTCAGTGCAGCAAACTGAACAGTACATCAAACCCTCTTCTCCTCACTGCAGACCACACTACAGCTGAAAAAGAAAATTCCATCAGCACATATCGCAGAGGTCAGGAAATCTTTGAAAGCCTTTGGCCATGAAGGACTGGCGCTGGATTCCACTACAAAAGTAAGCCACACATCTCTGTGTATTAAGGCAAATTTTTGCCAGGATTGCATTCTGAATGCCCAACATGTCTAAAGATTTTGTTCCCTTTAACAGAAGCCTGCATGTATTTATTACCTTCTGAAACAGCAAGTTTGAGAGGCTCTCCAGGCACCTTTGGTTTTATAATTTTACTGAGTACTTTTTAAATTTACTTTGATTTCAAATAAGAAAGCTTTTAAAACTTTCAGAAGAGTACTTTGGGCTTTCTTCAGAGCAAGTGCTATTGATCAAAGCATGTTATTTCAGCAAAGATGCTGAACTAATGCTTGGCATTGGAAATTCTAAATTTAACACTAAGTTCTAGACAGAAATCACAGGCCCTGCTGTACCTGCCCTTACCTGAACAATCCCTCGTTTGTACATGGCGCATAATATAAAGAGAGAATCAGATGACCATTCCACATATTGGATCTGATCCAGGCAAGTGTATAGCTGAAGGATTTGAAGGGTGTTCACATCTCGAACCATCAAACGGTACTGCGCACATGAAGCCTGAAAGCAAACAAAAATAACAGCTTAGTTGCTACACAGATACCAGAGTTATTAACAATGCCAAGACTTATGCTGTATCATTCACACACTGCCCTGTTGCTCTAGAGTTCAACTACTTTGGATGCACCAGGATTTATACTTTTGAATTTGAAGGCTTGTTATGAGCTGCATAACTAAGTGACACAAAAGAGGAGTAAAGACAGATCAATCAAATTCATATTAAACACTAAACCAAGGTAAAAAGGAAAATGTAAAAAGAAATCTGGTTAAAATGGTGCATTTTTAAGTTAACTAAAACTAACCCAAACATGTATTCAAAGCTGAAAGCTGTCATTTAAAAACAACATTTAAAAAAACCATTTTTAGGTTAAAAAGAGAAAAAGTTGAAATTGTATAGTTTTTTCACATTCAAATTGGACAGTCAACATAAAAACAAGTTTTAAAAAAATCACCAGAACAGTTTTAGACACTGTATGTGCCCCCCATTCCCTCTGCCAATTTTTTCAAGTGAGAAAATTTTATTGTAAAACAACAAAAAAGGTTTTTGTATACATTTATCTAAATAAATCTTGCCACAGACTATGGTACACCAGTGATTCTCAATCAGGGTGCCATGGCACACTGGGTTGTCTTGAGAGCCTTTCAGAGTTGCTTCTGGATGCCATGCAATGTTAGCACTCTTAGGTGTGCAAACATGATCACAAGAGAAACCCAGAAATTTCAAATTGAAATCCACAGTATTAAAAGCATTCTGACCTGCTGTGGTCTTCCTGAGCTATTTACAAAAGAAATTACTCTGTTATCTGTACTTCAAAATCAAGTGAAAACGAAGTGCTGACATCTTTGAAGAGGTGCCACAAGTCTAAAGATGGGTGCTTTGACTTTATCAAGGCGCCATGAGTCTAAAAAGATTGAGAACCACTGTAGTACATGATTTTTTTTTAAACCCACAACTCATTTAAAATTAAACACCCAATTAAACAATTGCAGAATTAGAATCTACCACAGTAGGAGCAAATTCCTAATCCTTCCATTACTACTTTTAATTCTAATCTTTAATTCAACATTTGAGTTATTTCTTGGCCCCCATTAGTTTACTGGGAGGTTTGACCTTGAAAATTAAATATCTAGGCTGAATGTTGTCTGACATGATAAAAAAGATGAAGGTTTTTATTCCATTATAAATTACCATGTATAAATTAATCACACAAAAAGACAGAGTTGTACCATTGGGTGTCACTATAATACGTTAGAAGAATTTTTCTTTACACACATTAGAAGAAAATACAAAAAAAAAAAAAAA